GGGTACATTAACTTAAAGGGGAAGTGCAATGCTATTTTTATATTTTGGGGTTAAAAAGAATCAGCACGTGATGAGGGCATTTCAAACCACAATAAAATTAAAATGTACACAATAACGTAGAACCTCCCATTTTCGCCACAAAATAGACACAATTTCCAGGTATGCGCAGCGCTATATTCTGCGATTCAGAACAAAGCAACAAAATGACAGGTGATACAGGTGATGTCGGGCCCTATTACACTGTAAACAAGCAGGTTTGTGAATACATCTCTTTTAATCCTATAGAAATATTGCTTTCAATTTCAAAACAGTTTTGCTGACAAATTCTACTTCCTTGTTAACGCTCCATGCAGAACATTTCTGAATACAGTTGAAACCTGTATGTACTGTACTGTATACGCTCGTACATCACATTACATTAGTCTTTAGGGAGACTAGTGAAGAGGAAGGGCCAAATCATGTTGCAGTTCGTGGGAACTCGAATGTGAGTTTGCAGCAACAGGGCGACGTAGAGTACTTCCACGAAGTTCACGGTTTTTGGCTTAATTCAAAATTTGGCAATTGTTTTCTACATCGTCAATCAATTTATTTTGTTTGTGAGATTTAATAACCGGTCTGAGAAATTGGGACTGCGGTTTCTTTTATGCTTTTAGAGGTGGAGCATTTTTACAACCAGAGTTCCTCGCTCCTTCACCTTTTGCCTCCTACGTCTTTCCAAATGAAACATGACTGCCATTTAAGTACAGAAAGTGGCAAGGAGTGTCTGAGGGAAGGAGTGATGGGCCACGACACCTAGAGGACAGAGGCAATGACAGGGTAATAGATGGAACTGGTGTGACACAAGGGGGTGATGGCATGGATGTGCCTTGATAGTCTTAACATTTCATCTTCCTCTCCCAACCAAGGGTCTGTGGGAAAATTAGACCGGTCTGGCTGTAAGGAGATGGAGCTCCACAAACTCACTCATACATGGCAGTTTTGTAATGAGGTGATACTTCATTCCCCGCGCAACTGAACTAGAACTGCACACAGACGTGGACTGGCATAGTGCCTTCCTATGCTACAGAACCTCGCAATCCCCAGTCTCCTGAGAGATTGTAGAGGTGTGGGGCTCTGTACCAGTCTTCCAACTAAAACGAGTAATTAAAAACAGTTTTCACGTTTCTTTACATTTCTTCCCTCTGTGAGAGGCTCATCATTGGTGCGTACACTACACATATGCTGTGGATAAAAGTTGGAATTAATCATGAGCAATGTTTGGGAAGGATACCTTTAAAACATGATCAGTTAAAGTTAAAAGTACTGTAAAGTACAGTAGCTCTGCTCTTTTTAAAATTCATACCAACTTTGGGGAAAATTATTTAAAATACAATCGGATAAGGGGATGGCATTTCAGTACATTTGGTTGCTAAGTAAAATTCCTCATTCTTCTTGTATGTAATATATGTTTTATATATACTGAGAAAAAAATATATTTATTTATAAACAGGATTAGACTGGTATTAAGACTGGCTGTGGAGGTTACAAATGAGTAGGAGATAATTCCTAAAATTGTTATTTACTGTACATGTTTGACTTGATGTGATCTTCAGCATGGCTGTATAATCTGCATTCACGGCAATATGCAGCACCACGAGCACAAGCTTCTCGTGATTTTTCTTTCACACAATTCCATGCGCCACTCGGCACTGTGAAATAAAACTTTGATCGGGATCGCCATTAACGCTGCGCTGGATATTTTCCTATGGATTTTCCATGAAAAACTACCCGGAGAGATAAGATGTATCTTCCGGGGAGTCTGTCGCAGGTTTTGTGGTCTTTCTGTTTCAAATGGAAAAGGTTTAATTTTATGTAATCGACTGTAATGGAATATGTCGATAGGTACGACAAAGTTAATGCCTTTTTAAGGCCGGGCCCCGGTGTGTTTTTCAGGCCTAATTGACTGTAGGTCTGTTCGTTCTTGTATATCATCCTCCTTGTCCTGTGGTTAGGATTACAGGTATACTGTAAATTGCAAAGTCAGGGTTATCTGAAATGTAGTTCATTACCCAGAATGTCCAATCTTGACACATTATTATCTTTGCTGCGTTTTGTCTCAATTTCAATTATCTTCCATCACAGTGTGGCCTCCGGGGCCTCTTGCTGCTTTCCCCATAGGTCTCTGCCCACCCAAGCTGTCGGTAATGTGTTCAGCGTCTTCAGCCAATTATTTTGATTGGGCTGCAGCATTTCAAGCTCCAGGTTTCCTAGGGTTTGCTCCTGGCAGCCAGGTACTTACCAGTGCTCAGTTATCCTGAGATGGAAAAGAGAAGAGGCAAAAATAAAAAACAACAAAAAAAAAACCAACTCAACACAGCAACCCAAATTCATGAAAAGCATTAAATGTTCTGACAGTGAAGTAGTGGTTTTCTTTGCCTGGTGTTTGTGTGAAATGATCTGGTAAAACAGATGCTGTAGAGGTAATGCATTACTGCGTCTCCCTTCTGAAATGATGAATGTTCCTGTCTCAGAGCTGGAGTTGTAAGCAAATGCTAATGCCTCATAACAGGGGAGAGTTTTCGACTTTCTTTCTTTTTCGTTGTTTCCACGGCCTTAAAGAGAATACACATACAGTACAGTATATATATTTCATTTAATTGTACAGTCTTTTGTTACAGTGTAACACTTTGATTCTTCACATTGGCTTTGTCTCTTTTGTCCCGAAGCATCATTATCTTTTTATATAAGCAGCCTGCAGTAGAATCGCAATACAGAGCATTAGAATAATAGTGCAATAAAAGATATACCGTATCTTTGCAAAGGACAATAGAGTGCGAGCTTCTCGTTTTATTTCACAACAAAATGCCTAATGCATTATGTAATAAAAAGAGGAGATTGTTTATCTGCAGAAATGAATTTCACTGAATAGTCAGATTCCGCTATCTACAGTGAATTACCGAGAACGAATTATGTGGAGCTACAGGACTGTACTATATGTATATAAATCACTTGCTTCACAGTAATCTCTTTAATTAGCACATTGTATTAATGAAAAGGTTATCGGTTAACAGAAGATAAGTATGTGTACATATACTGGAAATACAGAAAATTAAAGTTATTAAAAGCATTACAATAACTATAATGCTATACCATGATGACATATAGCTACTGTATAACTATGATGACATTATTGAATTATTTGTTGTTCAAATGAATTAATTTGCTCTGTTACAACCTTTGTTTTCCACAGTAGCAGGTACAGTGGAGATTCATTATAGTTCAATTGATTTTAACTGTTCTCGTCAAAGTAAACAGTAATGTCTTTCAAAAGGGTTACCCAGTAAGAATGGGTACTGTTATTTTGATTAAAGCATTGGGGACAGTGGGGTATAGAATATATTGCTAAAGTTTGATCTACACATCTAAAAACTGAACACCGAAACAAACTCTTATGTAACCATTCAGGTTAACATTAGGAAACCACAATTAAAAATTCAATTTCTTTAAATCTCCCATGTAAAGTAAAATGTCATAAACACGGGCAGCATGGTGGCACAGTTGTAACATTGCTGCCTCGCAGAGCTGGGGCCCTTGGCTCAGTTCTGGACCTGGGTGCTGTCCGTGTGGAGTTTCTATGTTCTCCATGTGTTCATCTGGGTTTCCTCCAGGTGCTCTGGTTTACCTCTCACGATCCCAAACCATACTGGTCGTTTAGTTTCCTTCTGGGAAAATTGGCCATAGATATGAGTATGTTTATGTCTGTGTTTCTGCCCTACATTGGACTGGCATCTCGTCTCCTGTGCAAAGTGTACCCGCCTTGCACCTGTTGCTTGCTGGGATATCCTCTGGCTCCCCAGTGACCCTGAATTGGGGGGAAAAAATGCAACAAGCTTAATTTTCATGATTGCATGCAAGATTGCATGTAGATACAAGGTCTGACCTTAACTAGATTTATCTTCGGGATATGAGAAGTAGAGGTGATTGAGCTCTGTGTAGCGGAGCTAGTTCGGATAGGGTGACGTCAGCGCCCTCCCCTGGGCGTAGCAGGGACCTCAGCTGCCTGGGCCGAGGGATGTCTCCTTTAGCTCATGCGGCTGGTTCCCTGTTGCGTTACGCAAGGAGACCCGGGTTCGCGCCCCAGGTGCTGCAGGACAGCACGGGTGGCGGGGGGCACGACACCGCGCGGAACCGCGACTATCACGTCTGCATAAGTGAAAGGAGCCACAGTAGTTGTTAGGCGTCATACTGTATGTAATATAATTTATTACCATTGTTTCCCTGGGAAGCAGAGATCTTTTTCTTTGTTTGTGATCATTTATGATGTGATGAGATCTACAGTATCTTTGGAATACTTGTGCAGCGCTCTGTGTGCACGATAATTCCCTGGGTTTTCATACATTAGAAGAGAGTTTCCATTTATCACAGCAACTCTTTCTGTAGTAGTTGCTCTATAGTCTGTGCGTTTTACCACATTGGAAATATATCTTAAAGATCATAATACAGGGATCGTGATGCCAAGCGATTGCAACACTTGCGCATTGAAGTACATAATTCTGGGGCTTGGTTTTCTCAGCGTTGGTTTCCACTTGGAAGCTATGTATGATGGTCTGAGACTCATGTGAAACTGAACGTTTAATCTGTGACTTCTAATGCACTGTTCATGGTACTGAATGGAATTTGTACGTATTCAGAGCATAAAATTATCAAAATTACAACAAATAAGAAATACATTACCTTATGAATACCCCCTAATAATTGATATTTACTGTAGGACCTCCTAATTAATCTGAAGAAGCATACATGCTTGCTCATAAATATTATTATTTGTTTAGTTATGTGATCTTGGGATACGTCAAAAAAAATTTAGGATACAGCTCACATTTAGTTTGGCTTAAAAGTATTTTACAACCCCAACTGTTTATAAAATGTACTGTGTACTGTGTACTGTGTTGTTTTGTGATCTGTGCGTAATGAGTGATTTTGTTGTGTCTTTTATAATCTGTCATCTTTTTTCTCCCCAGAAATATAAGGAGCATGAAAAATCGGTCCAAGTGGAAGAAATTGATGGTCTCCATCTTGTCAAAAAGTTGGCTCAGAATATGGAAGAAATGTTCCACAAAAAAGCTGAAGCAATGAGGGTGCGTACGGTACTTCTTTTTCTAAAACCTAAGATTTTGTTGGTGCATGTTCTGTATAAACCACAATGTAATTAATTTGAAAGTACTTGAAAATTATTATAAAGTTACGCAGGAGTTGGTGAAAATGTGTTCTCGGAAACAGCTCTGCTTCATTCATCCTTCTTAATAAAAACTGTGTCAAGCTGATGTGCTCTCAGGAAAGAAAGATCAGTGTGTCTCTGGTGTTTCAACTATGCTAAGCTAGTGAGGGGAGTACTTTAAAAGGATGTATTGACCAAAGCATTTTTGTAAAAGGCAGGTAATAATAACTAGGAAAATAGATTTATTTGATAACTGATAAAGAGAGGACTGGATTCTCATGTTGGCTGTTAGTAATACTGGCACATGGAGCAGAAATACTACTATAACTTCCTATTAATTATATCATCTTCTTATTAGGCTAAAGTGCGGGTACAATCTATCACTAAGAAGAAAGCATTTTTTACTTTTTCATGACACGTTTTGCATAAAATTGAATATCTTCCTGCATGTGTCCCCTGTTCAACAAGGGATAGGGGAGAGTAAGAAAAATTCTTCAGCAGCTTAACTGTGCAGAGTTCAAGGTCAGGTTGGGTTCTGTAATAGGGTTTCATGTTGTCCCATGTTGTATCCAAGCCACTGCTTCAGAGCAGCAATTTCAAACCCACGCAGTCATATTGTTACTGCACTGTGTGTCTTAGGTCTTGACTTAATATAAATGCATATTTAAGAGATACAATAAGGTCCCTCCATGAAAATATATTTTGATAATACATTTCTAAACTGTCGTCTGGAAGAAGTAACGGTGCTACAGCCAGAATTTGTGGGTGTTTTTGTTTTCGACCTCCACTGTTTCCGCTTGACTGGCATTCTGTGGAAGGTAATTGCACTGATACAGTAATTCAATTTCATTACAGACACGCTTCAGTCCTCTGGTAGGGCTATATCTGCTCCATTCCAAGGACGTAGTGCTATTCATCACAAATGATCACCCTTTGTCATGTAAAACTTTATACTGTTATTTGCATGTAGTAAGCTTTCATGATTGAAGATGGAGAGCTTGTTTTAGTTAGTTGATAAGTTTATGAATTCACTAGCATGCAATAGAAAACTAGTACATAGTAATAATAATAATAGTATTAATAATAATAATAATTGTTACACTTATATAGTGCTTTTCTCTCACTCCACTCAAAGCACTTTACAGGTAATGGGAACTCCCCTCCACCACCACCAATGTGCAGCGTATGTAGTTGAAGCTCACATTTTCTGTTAAAGCACTTGTGTATGGATAGGCAACACAAACAAAATGTCTGTTTTCTAATTTGATTTATTTTTAATTTGGCTTTTAATTTGAAATACATATTTTGATCATACAAACATACCTGATGGTCACTTTAATTATTTTTACCTAACCAAAAGCTAGCTTCAAATGTAGATTGTCTTTTGTGTCATCTTAATATCAGTCGCATTAATAATTGTATGCATATTTATTAGAGATATGGACATACATTTATTACATATAAACATTGTTAGTTTTCACCTACAGCAACATACATTCAAAACTGTTTGAATATACATGAAATGATGTGACTGCTTGAATGCACAGGTACATGAAATAATTTTATATACAGTACTTTGATATGATTCAAAAGAAATTTATATCTATTCAAATTCCAGTGTCAAAGTACAATAATGACTATAGAGCTCCTATTTGGAGTCTCTAACAAGAAGAACAAAAAAAGAAAAATTATGCAAGAATACAATTTCGTGTACTCGAGTTTTTGGAAACCAGGATTTTTTTTGGTACAGTAATTATGTCCAAATTGTAGTAATAATGCTTGCTTTGTTTCTGTATGTGCTGTTCTTTTACTGTAAAATAGTGGATATCATATACCTGTTTTCCTTGCCCTTATTTTTTTGATGCTCCTCATCATATTATTAGAACTGTTGCTGATTGTTACAAGTCAGCTTGTCAGTTCTCTTGCTGCACGACCTAACTCTTTCACAAAATGACTTCTGAACACGCTGGCACGCTGCGTATCAGGAAATAGCCATTCAGGATCTGCACTGGGGTGAAATGACATGTTCCACTGAAAAATAATCAGATGGTTTGTTCATACTCCCATCCCAGTATTGCGTTAACTGTAACCTCCACCTCCAAACACTGCGGCCTGAAAAGACCTTTCAGTGTCTGTTTTCTCTGGAAGAGGTCATTAACATTGCCGATAACTGTCTAGGAAGAAACAGTCCCCCAACACACAGTCGTGCACAGTTTAAACAAAAGATGTATAAGGTGTGAGGTGCCACAATTCTCTTTACATTTTTGCCTAGTTTATGTTACTAGCTTTGTTTAATAAGTTGATGAAGAATTTTTGAAAATGTAAAATATTTTTTTTTGCCCTCCAGTGTCTCCCAGCATCTGCAGATATGTGAAAATGTTAATAGGGTTGGTGTACCTTTGCGCCTTTTTCGCCTTTTCCATTCCCTGCTGCTCAGTGACACTTGGGCTTCCAGCTCTCCCTCCAGCAGACTTTGACATTAATCCGCCTCTGCGCTTACAGATTTCCCCAGTTGCTTTAAGTAACATCTTGGATCACTGCAATTTCATTTCAGGACTGTTGATATAATGACAGGCTTGTAGCCGGTGTTAATATTACACAACAGCTAATGTCAGTGGAAAAACATGGTTTTCTCCGCGTGACAGTGTAGATGTTGTCGAGATACTCATCTAAGATGAATGTAGGAGTATGGTACCGCATTGTCATAAGTAATCAGTATTTGAGATGGATGACAAAACCTGACTAGAATTTCTAAAGGTCTGTAGAAGACCACCTACGCGTCATTTAATAATCGTAATTTAATTACAGGATTCCTGGTAGGCCTTTTATTTTTGTTTTGAATTGATTATAGATTTTTCTTTCAACTCCTTACACTTGGAAATCTTAGGCTAATTTGGGCAATAACTATGCAGAGCCATACACTGCAGGTTTACCTTTCATCCGTTAACGTTTTAAAATCTCAGGCTGATTGTGATCGTTCTCTTGCTTGTAGTGGTGGTTCAGCAGATGTGATTCCTGGTGCAACCTGTTCTGCCTCTTGAAGTCTTATATAAAATACAAAAAAGTCACTAAAATGTTACAACTGTCATCACAATGTAGTGTGAGATTTATGGGTCACAAATACAGTATGTCTGTGGTGACCAGGGGACACTGTTCTTTCATCCTTTGAATGAAACATTAAATCCAGGCTTTGACTGCTTGGTCATGAAAGATCTCCTGACATTCTTTGTAAGAGTACAGTAGGTGTGTTAAGCTCAATATTTTGGTTAAATTTCACTTTAGTCTTGTGCAGTCTGTTCTGCCTAAATTTTGATGAAGCAATTTCTTACTTATGTACCTAACCTGTAGTGTAGAGGGGCTACACAGTACACAGTACTTGCTGTTGTGCTTTCCAAAGGTGGTGGACAAAGAGAATCCCCTCCATTTTGTATAATATGTTGGGATAAAAAGGGCTATACTGTATAAAGAAGTTCAAGTATCTAGCTGTGTCAGCATGCGTAGGCTGCAAAGGAACAAGTAAAAGTTTATTCCAGGCTGAAAAGAGAAGAAAAGAATCACGACGTTTCGGCTGTGGAGCCTTCTTCAGGTGTGTGGATGTGTGTGACAGAATCAGACATAAAAATGGACAAAATGATTAGAGCTAGGATAAGGGCTGTGGCTAGTTAGACTGGGGCTTACGTTCTGGATAAATGACAGGGCAATTCTACACATTACATTTGGGCTAGGCTTCCATTTCACCTTTGGAAATCAGGAATTAAAGTATGGAATTGTGCAATTTGTGCATCTGAACTAATTTAGGTTTGCCATAGAAAGGGAGCGAATACTTGTTCAATCAATACATTTGATTGCATAGGCTGCCTTTGCTGACATTTCATTTTTTTTCACCCATAAAGGTGTTCAGTTTGAATGTTGAAATCTCAATTTAAATTGTAATTCAGTAAATTGGGATATTCGTGGAGGGGTTAAATACTTATGCCAGGCAGTGTCTATCCTGTGTTTTGAAGATATTAACTTGGTTGCTGTTGTGTATTTTTAATCCTTGGTCCCTTTGGAGAAATCAAGAATGGAAGGGAAGAGAAATGGAGTATACCAACGGTGCTGTACATCTTACTTGGTCACTATGAATACAAAGTGAAAGCATATCACTAGTTTACCCATAATTCTGCTTAGACAATGGTGGGCTGACTAGCCCAAAATACTGTACATAACATTTACAGCACACTAAATAAAGTTTGTACTTTATGCAAAGAAAATAATGTCTGTAACAGAATTGTGTCAAATTAGACTATAGAAATAGTGAAATAGTTCACATACTGTAGTTCACTAAAGGAGTTTACATGGAACAAAGGAGAAACACAATAAACTGAGGTCTGCATGAAGAAAAATAAAATGTGTGTGAGCAGCAGAACGGAACAGCAGCTGAGTGGAACAGTATATCAGGTAGACGGTGTGGGACAAGGGAGAGATGTACAGTACAGTACGAACAGTTGAGGTCTGAGCTACAAATCATAACACATCATCTGTAGTCAAGTTGTGCACAGGTGGTTCCACAGGAAGTCAGGGAAGCAGGCAGAGGTGGTTGAAGAGAATGCGATTTTCAGATTCTTTTGTGGGGGATGATTATAATACATTCACATATTAATAGTAATGTATTCCCTTTGGTTTCCTTTCTGTAACATTGTGGTTTAAAGGAGAGAGACAGAAAGTAATTGGAGGTGGAAGGAGTAGGAGGAGGAGAAAGCGTTACTGTAGCTATACCATTGGGGTAATATAAGTATCCCAATGTAATGTACTTGCCCCACTGTTGCCTAATTCAACCACATCGTACTGTCTTTACAGGGTTTGACTCTTTTCAGACATCTTATTGTTTTATATAGAAGTTATTAACTAACATCTGGGAGGGATAACAATGGCACGTCC